ACTCATGCGTACTGGTCATTACAAAGCGAGGGGATAGGGGGTGGGGGCAACACAGTTTTCTGGCTGGTATGCAAATCAATGAAATTTCGCGTTTTGCCAGTTTCAATTTAAATGTTTACATGAAATATGTCTTCCAACCATTTGGTACCATTGGGTAGATACATTATAGGGCAATTTATTCATGTCTGTATAAGACCAATTAAACTTCATATCAAAACTGTTCAGGCCAAAATTCAGACCCAGGGTGACAATTTCCTAGAAATCTATTTTTAGAACAAAACGGGATGTGCACGTGATGTAAATAATTATTTTCTACTTTTGAAAGTATGTTTATATACGTGTACTATAATCCATTATATCTGTCAAATTGGATGATATAACATTCATAAATAAATAATTTATGAGCATTTCTGTTTTTAAGACAGGATTTTCTTTAGAAGAAAAATTATCGTTGAGGGTCTGCATGTTTGCACCGGCACTGTGAATTTAGCTCAAATGGGATTTTAGGGGACTTTAAGTATGTTATGCAGGAAGGTCCATAGCATATATATGCCAAGTTTCGTTTCCTCATCATTTTATTCCGACCTTGGCCAGAAATGGCTAATTTGACTGACTCCAGATACAGACACGTGATCAGGGTCATCGGGTGGTCAGGGTTGCTGTTGATCACTGGATTGTCTGGTCCAGACTCGATTATTTACGGTGAGTGAGTTAAGTTTTACGCCGCACTGGCGGCGGTCTGTAAATAATCGAGTCCGGACCAGACAACCCAGTGATCAACAGCATGAGCATCGATCTGCACAATTGGGAACCAATTACATGTGTCAACCAAGTCAGCGAGCCTGGCCACCCGATCCCGTTAGTCGCCTCTTACGACAAGCAAATTATTATAGACATTCCCCTACTGTGCTTAGCCAGATCAATTTTGCCTGAGGAAATTTGTTTCTTAGCATCTCAACATAACTTCAGCAGTCTCGTCACGTAATTGGCAGGCCAAAAAACCCGATAGAATGTAAGTATTCTCTTCAGACAAATTGCCCTGTGATTGTTTGGGAAACTTAATCGTAAAGTTTTTGCCGAGAGCCTAAAGGATATTTGTAAATTTATATAATAATATTTTCGAAATCCTTCTGCTAATCTTCTTACGAAAAGCAAATAGGGAAATTATTTCTAAAACTGGAGGGCATCAATAGATGGTTTCATACCAGGTAAGCGTAAAAACGCTGACTCCACTTTAAAACGTTTTTAATTTTTTTTTACCATTAAAGCCACGGGCTGTGCTTGTATTTAGTAATTTGTTGCACGAAAATTGCGATAAAATCAGCAAAGGGGAATTTAACCCTTCTGTGATATGAAATACTTCTCGGAATATCATCTTACTTCCTATTTGGAAACATACACTATTAACAGATACTGATTATTGGTACCGAAGGATGATCGACAGTAGCTCTATGTATGAAGTGTGCGAATGATTAACGCCTATTGTAAGAGTGGTTTGTTTGTTGTTTAATTGTTGTTATATCCCAGCTAAATACCGGCGATCTGTAAATAATCCAGCGATCAACATCATGAGCATCGCTCTAGTTTCAGCTTCACGAGGGAGGGGACGGTGGGTTAGCCTAGTGGTTAAGCCGTTCGCTGATCACACCGAAGACCCTGTGTCGATACCCCACGTGGGTACAATGTGTGAAGCCCATTTCTGGTGTTCCCCACCTTGATATTGCTGGAATATTGCTAAAAACGGCGTAAAACTAAACTCACTCACTCACCCAATTCACGAGGGAAGCTAACACAAGAGATGCAGTTCCTTGACGATCCCCACTTTAGTTAAACCCACAAACACAAGCATGCTGATGACAAACCAAACATATATGAAGATCCGGGTTAGAATACGTCTTCAGTAACCCATGGTTGTCGTATGAGGCGAGTAACGGGATCAGGTCTTGGTTGACACATGTCATCGGTTCCCAATTGCGTGGATCGATGCTCATGCTGTTGACCACCGGGTTGTCTGGTTCAGACACAACTATTAACAGGCAACCTGCATACAGCTGGAATATTGCTGAATGCGGCGTTATTCAACAAACCAACCTAATGTCAACCGGGATTCGAACCCACAATCGGTTCTTGTCTGACCAATAACCAAGCTATTTGCAGCATGATTTCACAATGCTATTTAGAAAGTGATCAACTGTAACATATGTTGTTTTGGGGATTACACTTTCTTAGTAAAGTACAGATTCTAGTACTTTTGTTGGGTTGAGACCCATCCGGGATTCGAACCCACACCCTCTGAGTCAGGCAGCAAGCAGTTTAGACACGTGTGCCACACTTGCATCAAACGCACCAAGGCATATCATGTATTATGAGCGATTCGGGAAAGAAAGAAAAGACAGGAATTCTAGCAAGACACTGAGGCAGAGGACATTATTACAAGTCCACCTTGAATGGATATAACTGGATTAGTTCTTCTGCAATATATAATTACATCTCAAGTATCGAGCGCTGGAATACGATCAGACATACGCTAGAGGCATTTCCTGGAGCCCACTGTTTGAAGAAAGAGTCACTTTAGGTTTGATGACAAGTATCTTACATCTGAAGAAGAAATAGGGCGCACTTTGTGGAGATCATCAGTGGCGATGTTCAGTACAGAAGCACTTTGATACAGTCCTTGAAACACAATGCTTGGTTGATTGGTTGTATTGTTGGTAGACTGGTTAAAGGTATGGTTGATTATGTTCATTGTTTGAATGAATGGTTGACTGAATGTTATTTTTGTTGGAATGTATGATCGGTTGGATGGTTTGCTGTTTGAATGCAGGTTTGGTTGAATAGTTTGTTCTTTGAACGAGTAGATGCTTGCATGATTGGTTGTTTAAATGTTGTTTTTTGCTTGATTATAAGGTTGTTTGAATGGCTTTTTGTTTGAAGGTTTTGTTGATGAATGTGTGGCTGATTGTATTGTTGGTTGTGGGAGTCAGTTAGTAAGTACATGTTGGTTCAAGCCGCATTAGCAATTTTGTAAAAAGAGTTTAGAACGAAAGCGATGACGAAGATAACTGAAACTTCTGGCAATTATCACAGTAAACGGGAAGAACTGACATTGAGACAATCTTATCACATAGTTAATTTCCCTCAAATACGCTAAAATTAAATGAAAAGTACAGAAATAGTTTGAACAGTATACAATCCACACATTCTTCGCTCATGTGGTGTGTATGTGTTGGTAGGTGAATGGTTGATTGATTGTATAGTTGATTGCATATGATTGGATTGATTCGATGGTATGGTTGATTGCATAGTTGGTTGTATAGTTGGTTGTTTGAATGAATGTACTCGTATGGTTGTCTGGTTTTGGTGGAGCTGGATGATTGGTTGACATATGCAATGTATGGTTTATTGTATGTTTGATTGCATAGTTGTTTGTTGGAATGGAAAAATGATAGGTTGGGGGAAATGTGTGATCGATTGTGTGGTTGGTTGGTAGAATGTACATGGTTGATTGCATAGTTGTTTGTTTGAATGAATGGTTGGTAAGGGGGAAATGTGTGATCGATTGTGTGGTTGGTTGGTAGAATGTACATGGTTGATTGTATAGTTGTTTGTTTGAATGAATGATTGGTCGGTGGAAATGTGTGATCGATTGTATGGTTGGTTGGTAGAATGTACATGGTTGATTGTATAGTTGTTTGTTTGAATGAATGATTGGTAGGGGGAAATGTGTGACCGATTGTATGGTTGGTTGGTAGAATGTTCATGGTTGATTGTATAGTTAGTTGCTTGAATGAATGCTTGGTCGGTGGAAATGTGTGACCGATTGTATGGTTGGTTGGTAGAATGTACATGGTTGATTGTTTAGTTGGTTGTTTGAATGAATGATTGGTCGGTGGAAATGTGTGATCGATTGTGTGGTTGGTTGTATAGTTGATTGTTTGAATGAATGCTTGGTCGGTGGAAATGTGTGACCGATCGTATGGTTGGTTGGTAGAGTGTACATGGTTGATTGTATAGTTGATTGTTTGAATGAATGATTGGTCGGTGGAAATGTGTGACCGATTGTGTGGTTGGTTGTTGTAGTGTATGGTTACTTGGGACCAATTGTGCTTTCACTTGCTGATTTGTTTCTTTTCGCATATGAACAGGAATTACCGACCGGCGTGGGGCGGAACGTACCTTTGCGGAGAGTTCTTAGAACCTCTTTAAGCCCTGAGGTTTGATCCAGTAAAACAGAGTCCTTTACATTCTGGTGAATTTTCCGAATGTATTATTAGGAAACGATTAGAGGATCAGTGTGTACATTGGTTAAATTGGTTTCGAAGTAGTAATCATCGTCTACCTGTAGAGGTAGGTCGTTGGAATGGTACTTCATTACATGATAGGAAGTGTATTTTTTGTAATGTTAGTCCCGGTGATGATATCATGCTGTACTAAAATGTCCTTATTTTAATGTACAAAGTAAACAATATCTACAGATGTATTACTACCAGCATCCAAATACTGTTAAATTTTGTGAATAATTGCAGAATTGTAAACTGAGTGTTTTAAGGAAATTGAGTATTTTTTTGTAAAATGGCCATGAATGATTATAGGACTTCTATGTAAACTTTGTAAACAATTATTTATATCAAATATAATTTTGTGTTAATCTGTCGCCATTTTGAAATTGTGTTGTAAAATTGTATATCGATCTTCATATGCTGTTGTTTAGCAGCCTGAAATCAATAAAGTTATGTTCTGTTCTGTACTGTGAATTTATAGGAATATACAGAAATAAGCCTGGACATCTAACGATTTTGTTTATGGGAGAATGTCAATAATTAATCATCATTTGTGTCTCATGAGAAACCTCTGTCAGATTCTCTAAACCGATTCAACGACATAACGAGATGATGTTAACGTGAAAGGGTATCGTGTGTGATGGATGTAATGGGTACAGATGGTCGTAGATCATCACTCCGGATACGGCGGCACGGACATTGTCGACTGACTATACTTACCGCGAGTATCAAAACCAGGATAGTCTGGACAATGGACCGACACGCTTTCACCAGCTAGGGTGTAGTTGTAACACAGCAAACCGTCAAATGTGGCGTTACAATATAGCTGTCCTGAAAACAAATATATAACGTATCATATTTTGAACTTGGTAATAACGATACACCTCGTTCTTGTAAAATTCACAGTTCCTGTTGAGTTCGTGTGAAGGCGCGCACAATTACAATGTGTGCTTGCTTCGAGTAAACTACTTATGCAACATGGATTGTGAATGTGAACTAACTAATTACCATAACAATATGTTGCGATGGGTATGCCACATTTGAATGTTTAGCGGCTCATAAACAGAGACAAGAGAGAAAAACAATTTAACCAAGTGTCTAGCGATACAATTTATTTTCGTTCAGTGATTCATAAGACAATCTCCCGGCCATCTTGTGCCTATTAGACACCAATGACAAATGGTGAGGTGAGGTGAAATTGGGTTTAACGTCGTCTTGAGAATATTTCACTCATATGACGACGTGCATGCGTGTGTATGTGTATGTGCGGCTGCTTGTACTAGCCCAGACTTAAGCTGGTTTTATAGTGCTAGCCCACTGAGATACCATGCCGCAGTGAAGCATGAATACCCCACTCAGACACATTATACTGACTCCGAGCCGACCAGTCCTTGTTGTACCCATTAATGCCGAGCGCCAGGTAGGGACCAACAAGTACCATATTTTAACGTCTTTTTGGTATGACGCGTTCGGGGATCGAACCCGCGACCTTCCGCTCTCCGGGCGGACGCTCTAACCACTACACCACGGAGGCGGTTGACAAATGGTGCAACATGTTAAATGCACTATAAGTGCAAAGATAAGACATTTAAACTATATTGTTAAACATTTACATTAAAATATCATATAAGACATCAAGTTAAATATCAGTTGAGGTGGGGGTGTTGTGGGAGGCATCACGACCAATATGAAAACGCAACTAATCATTTTGAACGACAACCTGAATTGCGTACGCTATCGACAAAGTATATGTCGAAATCATGCTCTACGCGTGCAGATGCAGGGATGTAACTTAAATGTCGTAAACCATGATACATTTTACGGCAGGACAACCTTGCTGTAGTGCCATTGCTGGCTGTCTCTCCAGTCCTCCGCCCTTGTTTTAAGGTTCACTGAATGACATTTTCTATAAATGGACGTATTACTAATTCACTCTCATCATTATCATCAGAATAATTATCGTCATAATCATTATCATCATGAAAAACCAAATGACTTTACCAGATACACCGAAATCTTATCTGCATCTCTGCTTTTATTTCCATCCAATTTAGTAATCAACAAAATTATTTTAAAGAGGTGTTCTAGTTGTTGTGACAGGTCACCCTTCTGAAGAAAGTAATTAAAAATGGTTCACTGCCATCAAAAGTAATTTCCATTTTGCTGGCAATTACAACAATCAAGACCCCGTTCCATAAACCTATGCTGCAAGTCGGATGTTTCGATCATCTTAAAGCTAACATGGCTTTGTTGAACAACGCTCTGTGAAAAAGCAATTCCTTATTGATCTTAGAATTACATCCTGGCTTTGGGTAAGTTCAAACAGATCATGTCGTAACATATGATGTTAAAACTATCTGAAACCTAAATCCAACATGGAAGTACCAGATAATGCCTCAGATCGACCAACCTTTTTCACAATAACTTCAAAACTTCCACGAACGAGGAGGTTTCAAATGTCTTAACAATCTGATTCTTTATTGTAATTTGGAAGAACCGAAAATGAATTTCCGTGCCCTCTTTACAAATGTCTTTGAGTTCCTTCAGAGGAAATGGAAGAAACCTTCATTACATCAAGGTTAAAGGGGCATATTTCCAGAATTACTGAAAATGCTCTTGACCCTGTTTAGGTTTTTCATCTTGAATTACGTTTCTTATAACGAACATGTCACGATGACAAGAAGGAACATGTAACTATGCAGATATCTAAAATACATTTGAAAAAAATGTTGAAAGACGAAGGTAGTTTTTTCATCTTGATTTAAGTTTCTTTATAACGGACAGCATACGATTAGAACAACAAACGGTTAACTATGCAAATATTTAAAAATGCATTTGAAAAAACCCTAAAAGAGATGAATGTCGTGTAATCTTTATATTTTAACGCAAACAACGGAGAAAGAAATAAGCCAGTCAATGGCTTAATCTGACGAGAGCAGAAAACAAATGCAGCGAATCAAATTAGTTTCCGGACTTTTTTCTGTAACGCCAGGAGGTCATTGAAAATCAAATCTTCTTTTTCCTTGCACACTGAAACTTTGTATGCCCAATTCAGACCTGATCATCTAAGGGTTTGATTGCACTTTGACATCAGGCTACGCAAAGAGAGGGAGATTTGGCCAGGAGGTACAAGCTGAGAGAAAAACAGTTTCTATTGCTTTGACATCGCGCTCGTAACGTTATACTGACAACACAAGAAAAGTAAAGTTTTTGTCAACGGTTGGCGTTCGTGTTTGAAAATTTTGATACGCTGTGAGGCGATGAACATGTTTCTTGACATGTTTTATGGACCAGCTGAATGTTTTTGCATACGTTAATTCAAAATTAACATATTTTTAAAAATGCGATATTGTGTCACTGGAAGGCCTTGACCTTCATCAATGGTATTCTTTGACCCTTCATATTACCTGGGGCGGTGGGGTAGCCTAGTGGTTAAAGCGTTGGCTCGTCACGTCGAAGATCCGGGTTCGATTCCCCATGGGTACAATGTGTGAAGCCCATTTCTGGTGTCCCCAGCCGTGATATTGCTGGAATATTGCTAAAAGCAGCGTAAAACCATACCCACTCACTCACTCAATCATATTATCTTAGCATAGTATCAATCGAGATTGGTTATTCTAATTATTCTCTGGATCAGATGACTTTGTTTATTTCTTTGTTGTTTAACGTAGCAAAAGTTCAACTATATGGCGGCGGTGTGTAATTAATCGAATCTGGACCAGAAAATCCAGTGATCAACAGCATGAGCATCAATGTACGCAATTGGGATACAATGACATGTGTCAACCAAGACAGCGAGCCTGACCACATGATCTTGTTACTCGCCTCTTACGACAAGCATGGGTTGCTGACTACCAGTTCCAGCCCTGGGCCTAGATTTTCGAAGCTCTCTTAGCGCTAAGATAGTCGTAAGTGCCATACATTAACATTAACTTACGACTATCTTAGCACTAAGAGATCTTCGAAAATCTAGGCCCTGATCTTCACAGATAGACTAGATGACTAGATATAGACGTATACATGCTGATATAGTCTTATGACTCTAGCTATGGCTTTTGTTGCTGTTTTGTTACTTAAAACGATGGGACTTGTTACTGATCCTTGTAGCTCGTATGTTAGTAGACCATGTGCCATACAATTCCGTCATACCCTGTCAGCTTCATGTGGACGATTATACAGTTATTTTACAACACGTTACAGTTGGTCTTCAGCAACTCATGTTTGTCGTAAGAAGCTATTAATGGTATCAGGTGGTCAATGTCGCTGACTTGGTTGACAAATGTCACTGTATCACAATTGAGTAGATCGATGCTCATGTTGTTGATCACTGGATTGCCTGGTCCAGTTATTTACAGACCGCCGCCATATAGCTGGAATTTTGCTGAGAGCGGCGTTAATCAACAACCAAACAAAACAGTGTGTGTAGGGCAGTACGTCCCCGTGGGTGGTGCGTTGGTTGCTGCGGATAAAATTCATCGAATGATATTGATTCTGTCACTCAGCTCTTTATCTGAGCTATGAACTCATTTGTATTGCAGTCTCCATTACACTGGCTCCAACTCGCACTGACCATTCATAATCATTACGGTAACAGTATGTCACATCTGGTGATTACAAATCGCCCCATCCATTTACAAAACTCGCCTGCTCGGAAGTACATATCGGTAATGTTTATTTGCAAAGTACATACAAATCCCATTTTGTAAGATTAACAAAACATTATTTCACGTAATTTGTGAAGCATTACATGATAATGCAAGTCAAAATCTCACTCAAATTTTCACAGATCCATCCATCTAAATGTATCACCATTTTTCCTTTTGCGCCCAATGGAATTTGTCTCAGCACATAATTGAGATTGATAATTCAATATCATTGTTGTTTTATATCAATTTGAACCGATCTATTCGTATTTAGTTTAGTAGGAATAAATATTTTTGTCATATGTTCATGTGAATGTCTTTTGGTGAGTGTATCTTGTTTCGGGGTGGTGAGGTAGTCTAGTGGTTAAAGCGTTCGCTCGTCACGCCGAAGACCCGGTGTAGCAGGCCATTTCTTCCCCAGTCTAAACTTTCCCCGGGGAGAATCAGGCCTAGGCCAAACTTTCACCGGGGAGGTTTTGTCCTAGGATATTTACCCCGGGGAAAGTTTGGGCTAGGCTAAAGTTTCCCCCCATTTTAAACTAGGATATTTTGTTCTGTTTTCTATGAAAAGTGGGAATATTCTGGCATAGCTAGGCCACTTCTTCCCCACCCTTTCTCTCATGTCAAAGGAGGGAGATTCTGGTTAAAGCGTTGGCTCGTCACGCTACCCGGGTTCTTCCCCAACCTTGTTCTTATAAACCGACAGTAGTTTTGACTTGGTACACATTTTTACCAAATAGTCAATTTTTGCCTCTGACTTGGGTGTAGTGATTTGAATGCATACAAGTTTGAACGGCATATATCTCTAAATCCATCCTGCTCCTGCCGCCATTCCCATGAAGACACATTGCATTAGTTCTTCATCTGTCCACCATAAGATGTAAACATTCAATCGCATATTTGATGGGTGAAAAAGATGTAAAATACACAGGTTGCTTGCTCTCTTATCATGCTGTTTATTATCTAATATTTGTTGTATTTATGTATAAATATGATTGAACATCATTCACATAAGCTTGTTTACTAATCCATAATCAATTTTGGTGCATGAAATATGATTCAGATATCCAAGGGCCAACTATACCCCTTATCAAACCATGTCTTTTGAATATAGAATAAGTCAATATAGTTGGAATGATAGATGATACAGCATTTGATATATACTGAACAGCAAAAGAAACGCAAGTTTCGAAAAACTGAAATCTCATGAAGGTAAGCGTTCAGGTTTATGGAACGTTCATGGTAAAGTGACGTAATGATCCCAGATCAGATGATGTCATGCAATTTGACGTCCATACGAACCATTCGCACAAACACACCAACAGTGCAGCAAAACCATAATTTTAGCACGTGCATCGACGGTTATGGATGAAAAGCATTCATTTCACTCTGAGGTATCCTTTATAAAGGTTTATGTAAAAAAAACAGTTCAGTATTGACGCAAGGAGGTGTACACGCCACACAAACGATGCCTAGACTAACGACAGAGCAGAAGGGAATGGCCATTGGAAAGATTCACGGAGGTAGCTCTGCAACCGCTGTAGCTAGACAATCATCTTACCACCATTACACGACTTGCTCAACGTCATCAGCAAAGCGGGTTGCTGCTGATCGTCCCCGTACCGGACGGCAACGAGTGACTACTCATGCGCAAGATCGGTTCATCCGGGTCACTCATCTAAGGAACCGAACTCAAGCAGCAACAGTAACAGCAGCCTTAGTTCTTGGGCCAAGGGGAGCAGTGCCAAGCGATACGATTAGGCGTCGTCTTCGGGCTGCTGGAATCCCCTGCCGAAGGCCATATGTGGGGCCAATTTTGGCACGTCAACAACGCCAGCGACCTTTGCAGCCCTCACACAGCAAGGGTGTCGATGGATTATCTGGCTCAGAACAACATTAACCTCTCTTTCCCCGGATATGGCTCCCATTGAACATTCTGGGACAAAATTGGACGGAATATTGCAGCAGGTAGACAGCCACTCACACTTGCACACTTGGAATAGAGATTGGTGTTTGAGCGGAACCAGTTTCTCAGGCATTCTTTCCGACTCTAGTGAACTCAATGAGGCCACGTTGCACGGACTGTGTGCAAGCTCAAGGGGGCTATACGCGCTACTAATGAGACTGTCACATTTCGCGTTCAGGGGTATCTCCATTTGACGGACTGTGATCAATTTGAACTTATTGCAATTCAATGTCAACAGCAACTTTTAGTTGTTAAATTGACAGTGTTTTCTATAGAATAAATGATTAAACATAATTTTGTTTGTCTTCTATTCAAAAACTTGATAGAAAGCCAGACTTGCGTTTCTTTTGCTCTTCAGTATAGATATTGTGTTGTGTTGTTGTTGTTGTGTTGATGTTTACGTCTGCTTCCAACTGTTAAGTTGATGTCGCTCACATGGATGCCATGTTTAAAGCCATGAGTGATGGAATAAAATTTTGAATGCATATGGACATCCAAGTAAAACTGGGTATTAAGTTTCGAATATAGTAATGATTTTGAGATAAGCCACTTTGGAGTAAGTGGGGATAAGTAAATTATTGAAATATAAAAATAAGAAAATGATAATATAAAACAATTGTAATGAAATAATATCTTTGCTTCTATGCTTGCTTTTCTTTTTCATATCACCTTATTGAAGGGTACTGAAACAAAATGTGAACCATGTACATGTTATGTATGAAGATGAAGATGACCTGTAAATTGTTAATGGGACTTGACATCAACATGAATATCTTATCAATGTGTTCACGTGAATAGCTATGTCTTGTTTTCGTTTCTGACTTTTTCAAGACGAACATAAACATGAAAACAAGGTTGGGGAAGAAATAGCCTAGCTTGGTCAGAATCTCTCCCGTTTGAAATAAGACCAAGGGTTTGAAACAAGTAGCCTTTAAAGTTGATTCAAGGGTGGGGAAAGTTTGGCCGAGGACAATCTTTCTCCGGGGAGGATTAAGCCTATGGGGGGGGAGGGTTGACCTAGGCTAAAGTTTACACGGGGAAAGTTTGTCCAAGGCCAAAGTTTCCCCGGGGAAAGTTTGGCCAGGGGGATAGTTTGGCCTGTTACACCGGGTTCGATTCCCAACATGGGTACAATGTGTGAAGCCCATTTCTGGTGTCCTCCGCCGTGATATTGCTGGAATATTGCTGAAAGCGGCGTAAAACTAAATCTTGTTTTAGGCAGCATCTAGCATTCCAGCTTTAGGATGAGAATGCCCAGCTTGGCCTTCATACACTGTATGTTTAAAACACATATCTGGTGTCCCCGTCGTGATATTGCTGGAATATTGTTAAAAGAGGCGTACAACTAAACTCTCTCACTCACTTCATACATTTTCTACGTCCATCTGTATAACCCAAACCTATGATTTTTTAAAATAGATAAAATAAACTTAGCAAAAATAAAGGACATATTTCAGAAATGAATATGTAAATGTTTGAAATTTTCCAAATCCATTTTGCAGATGCTTCGTAGACAGAAGAAAAAGTGGTCTGTTTGATATTTGATGTTTGAGTGGAACTCATGTAATTACAGTAATCATGATATAGCGGTCTTCTATAATTGCTGCCAGCGCTTTTTCTGTATCTGAATTATGTTAGTGGGCCCTATTAGCTGACATACCTCGAAATACTTCAACATAATAACTGCCCAATTATCAACTAAGAAGAAACATCATCTGAAAATGAATGATGTAATTTCTGTTTTATATATTATACAAGTCTAAATCTTACACAGATTTTCAGTGATCCATCCATATTAATGTATCACCATTTTGCTTTGCCTTTTGCGCTAAATGAGAGCGGTTTAAGCTGGTAATTGAGAGCGATTATTATTCAAGATTGTCGTTTTATATCAATTTGAAGCAATATTTTCGTGTTTTAGTTTAACTACAATTTACTCTGTATTTTGATACATCGTATGGAGTTGAATAGCAAATGGAATTCAAAGAAATCTCACATAGGAAATGTCAGAGTATCACTGTTTGATAAGAGCTCGAGAAAAGTTAGTTAGTGGGTCACATTTAGACGTTTGGTGGCGCTGACGTCAGTACCTCGTGTGACCACCATTGACGTTCAGAACTGCACGACATCGTCTCGGCATGGAACAAATTAGCCTCTGCATCTAATGTTGCTGCATTGTAGTCCACTCTGCCTGTATTGCATGTGCGAGTTGCTGAGGTGTCTTCTAAAATTGCTATGTTAGTGGCCAACGCGTAAGCCCCATTAGTCGACATACCTCGAAATACTTCACCATAATAGATGCCAATTATCAATTAAGATTAACAATCATCTAAAAAAGGAATGGTGCCATTATATATAATAAACAAACTTCCTTGTTTCATGTGTTCGAACAAATGACTGTCAAGAAGAGAATTACATCTAATATGAGTAAGTCGAATAAACTATCTTTATGGTTCTGTGTTCAATGTTTTTGTGATCAACTCTTTTATAAAATGGACACCGTCTTCTATAATGTATCTATTATACTGTTTGCTGTATTTGACCTTCTTTGTAATATCTTCTGTGTTATATCACTGACTGAGTGAGTTTGGTTTTACGCCGCTTTTTGCAATATCACGGCTGGGGACACCAGAAATGGGCTTCACTCATTGTACCAATGTGGGGATTCGAACCCGGGTCTTCGGCGTGACGAGCCAACGCTTTAACCACTAGACTACCCCACTGCCCCGTGTTATATCATTACTTTGAAGGAGCTCCACTCTTTATGGACAACACATCCGCGTCATTCAAAGCCTTCATGCAACTTTCAGACGTCAACGAGTGCATATATGTTTTTAGCTGGCCCTTGTTACATCCTACGTGATGAGGACGGTAAAAAGGTTATCTCTCATCTGTCGATAACGGACCATATTAATTGACAGCATATGTATCATAATACATCGCCCCCTTCTCCCTAAGACCTTTAAAATAATACCGGATTAGAAGCGACTTAGGTGCAAATAGGTTCTATTTTATCAAATCATTAATACTTCAAAGCTTGTAATGTGTTCTCTTTTATATTCGAAATGCTGATGTCATCAGCAAAGATTCGAGCCTGCATGGCCGTCTGAACTCTAATGCATGGTCTCTGGTTCTCTTCGTACCGGTATCTGTTGGGGCTTGCGTGCCTTGGTTTGAATTTTCAAACAGGTTCTCTTTGTCAAATCACGAATACTTCAAAGCTTGTAACGTGTTGTCTTTTTATATTTTCGGAATGCAGACACACAATACAAACATAGATGTCCTCAACCATTCGAGCTTCACCATCCGATTCATAGGAACCCGGAGACTGGTCAGGGGATCGGTGGTCAGGCTCGGACTTGGTTGATGCATTTCAGGCAAAGAGGCAAGTGGTCAAAGGACCGAGTACTCACCATCAGTGGGATATGGTTTGTTGATGACGGAGGAGTTACAAATCAGTTCATCCAGTACAGACAGAGGGAGGGACTTGTCCACCAACCGTTCCAGAAGGAGCTTCCTCAGGGCAGCAAGAAGAGTTTTGTTCATGGTCTGAAATTCAAAGTGAATGAGTTTAGTTTTAGGCCGCTTTTAACAATATTCCAGCAATATTGCGTCGGGAGACTCCAGAAATGGACTTCACACATTGTACCCATATGGGGAATCGAACCCGGGTCTTCGGCGTGACGAGCGAACGCTTTAACCATCGGGTTACCCCACAACCACAAAAACAATATTTTCAAGTGAAAACATATTCACAAATGTAAATATTTTCTTTTTTTTCTGTTTGTTATGTTTAAGAGCAGATATTTCTTAATCTACAACGCAAAGTCTTGGCTATTACAAATAGACAATAGTTTCAAAATAAGGATTTGTGGATCTGAATATTATGCGCACTAATGGTGAACTGAATACAAAAGAATAAATCGTTCAGGTTCATTCAAAGAAATGTTAATGATATAAAACCATAGAAATGTGTACCGGTAATATGAGATTTATGTTCTTTCTCTGTTGCTCATTCTCGATTAAAGTAACTTCAAAGGCGTTGAAATTTTAGTATGAATGAGTAACTGAAATCAAATGTTTCATGCACGAATATGTGCTTTTTATCACATGAAGTTCAAAGAAAGTCTATTACAACGTGGATTTCCTGTCAAATTACAAACGAAAGTAGCAAAACACATTCCTTTTGACAAAAACGTAAATTTACATCTTGCTTGCGGTCCAAGAGGTAACTAAATAATAACAAATCAGCATTTTAGGGAATTTCTTCAACTCAAATACGGAATCTCTACCGACATCTTCAAAAGATATCAGCGTCTTCAGTAGACACAGGCAAATAGTTTCACGCGTCAATAACTAGCTTTACTCGGTAAAGGCAGGTTTCCGGGTAATAAATGTCGACTTACATGGATTTCCGGTTGGTCAAATTCTTTACGCGTGACGTTTTTTTATAAAAAAGAAATATCGTCACACGTCAGAATATCGCTTGCAAAATTGAACATCAAAGGCAACTTTGTGTGGTGTAATGTGTTTAAAACGAGTTTTGTGGCATACTTTTGAACTTAACTTATTAAGAATAAAAAAAAGCGAAACAAAACCCAACATGTCCATAATTTTAAAAACATATTGGAATACCTTTTATGAATTGTCCGAGAAAATATCATGAAAATATAAATTGCTTGACTTTTTTAGAAAACAGAAATTGTCTGCAATGATAGTATAAAAATATCTAGTTTTACAAAAATACACTGTAGCTGAAAAAAGATTAGCCAGTCTCCGTACGAGATCTATCAATCGTCAGTCGGGTTTGAAATGTCATCTTCGGACAGAAGATCTGACATTTCTGGAAGAGATTAAAAACCGCAACATCCTGCGACTGAAATACGCCACTCGGTGCTTGGCTTCCGTCACTGAATTGAATTTCACCCTTCACAGGTACGGAAGTTAGAGTCTTGGGTCGTTACAGGCTTGGCAACGTGCATTAACATGTCACAGGCAATTACCTTTAAAGCAGAATGATACTTTACTCGTGTATCTGACAAGGGCATGTAAGTATGAATGTATTTATCCGATCATTGTGGGGATTCTGCTCCGGAATAGGTCCCTAGTCACCTGGCAACTTATCTAGATGATGACAGGGGCGGTGGGGTCGCCTAGTGGTTAAAACGTTCGCTCGTCAAGCCGAAGACCCGGGTTCGATTCCCCACATGGGTACAATGTGTGAAGCCCCTATCTGGTGTCCCCCGCCGTGATGCTGCTGGCGTATTGCTAGAAGCGACGTAAAATTAAACTCACTCTTATTAGGTAAAGAGCGGCATAAAACTATACTCGCATACTAGATGATGACATCGTAATTTGACTGTTAACCTTACGTCTGACAAGGAAGATTTTGTTGGATACTTCCCAGGGAGTTGAGACGAAAAAATCGAGTGACATTACACACATACTAACATTTATATAGCGCCGATATAGGCGCACCGAGTTAGTGTAGCTTTACAATCCTTACGAGATACCCATTCACAACTGGCCGGGCTGGGACACATAATCACAGTACTTTGTCCAAGTTTACTGCACGTTGCTGTTCCCGCAGCTAGGTGTAACGACAAAACATTTCCATCATCACTGGGGATATGTATTAACGGTAAAAACATTTCCATCATCACTGGGGATATGTATTAACAGCAGAACCATTTCCATCATCACTGGGGATATGTATTAACAGCAGAACCATTTCCATCATCACTGGGGATATGTATTAACAGCAGAACCATTTCCATCATCACTGGGGATATGTATTAACAGCAGAACCATTTCCATCATCACTGGGGATATGTATTAACAGCAGAACCATTTCCATCATCACTGGGGATATGTATTAACAGCAAAACCATTTCCATCATCACTGGGGATATGTATTAACAGCAGAACCATTTCCATCATCACTGGGCATATGTATTAACAGCAGAACCATTTCCATCATCACTGGGGATATGTATTAACAGCAGAACCATTTCCATCATCACTGGGCATATGTGTTAACAGCAGAACAATTTCCATCATCACTGGGCATATGTATTAACGAGAAAACATTCCCACCAGTGACTGGTAAACTGGTTGTTCTATTGTTTTATAGGTTAAAAATTTCCCATTCTGCCTACAGTAATTTTTGTTGGCAAACTGGGGCTGTAGGAAGAATGGGATGTAACCATTTCCACCATCACTGGGTATGTGTATTGTCACCAGGTTTTAAAGAAACCCATTTGGGCTGTTTCATCCCATTCCATCACATTAATCTGACATGCCGAGATGCAAGGTGTTGTTTAATCTCACTTGATAGAATTATCTCATGATCTTTTTCAAAGTAACTTAGACCAATCATCTTTCACACAGTTTGTTTTGTCTGTTGTTTAACGCCGCACTCAGCAATATTCCAGCTATATGACGGAAATATGTATATGATCGAGTCTGAAACAGACATTCCAGTGATCAACAGCATGAGCAGCGATCTACACAATTGCGATACGATGACATGTGTCATCCAAGTCAGCGAGCCTGACCACCCGATCCCGACAAGCATGGGTTGCTGAAGACTACTTCTCACCCGGATCTTCACGGGTCTGTAGCACAGAGTACACAAGACGACACAAGACTACCATAAACTGTGAAACAAAGTTCAAAACAGTTCCATCACCAGATAATAAAAGTCAAAGAGGGAATACATTTGTCATCCTTTCAACACCAATACATCAATATTAAACAGTGTTCAGTAACTTCACGTGCGGTCGATATTGTTTTTAACATCAATGTCTTCTCCACACCTTAACGGACATTCTACTCACGAACATTTTTCACAAAACCCGCTTTCGCCAGTCAGGTACATTTTGAAATACACTGAACAATACAATGGAACAAAACGAATTTGTCGTTCAGTAATAATTCGTGACACATACATTTAAACAATTGTCCCTTATGACAACTTTTAAATACAATATTTCAACGCATATGGCTATAATATCAAACTATACGCTTTTGTGGCTTCAAGTTACCCAACCCTATATATGAGTGTTAACCCAAGTCAGTATTCATTAGAGCAGTTGTCTGAAGTAATGTACTGGTTTCAGAGTTTCTTCTTCTGAGGAGAGTGTTTTGCGTCACAGATGCTAATTTGCCTGTCTCATCTGCCCTTGGAAAACAGATCCAACCGTTAATAGGTCTTCGGTTCTGACATCCTGGTTTCTTCCGCTGAGAAAATCTGGGTCTATTTATTGGTCATTAGTGCCAATGTCTCATTAAGGGCCATGTGGGAGGTGTGCACGAAGACAAGGGTATGTTTTTGAATTAAGATTGATAATAAACCTTGCATAATTCTTTTTCATAAAACCATTTAAAAAATTAGTTATTTGTTTTCTTTGACAACTTGGGTAGATTCCTTAGCGATCACCTAAGCCATTGTGATTTGTTTGCACTCATGGATCAAAAGGTAACTGATGGAAGTGTCTTGTTAGTTTTGTTTCGTTGTGTTAAAGGAGCACACGCCATGATAAAAGTCTGCATAGGTGTTGAAACATGGGTCTCTGTGGTAATTAAATCCTTTCAGCAAACAATCCTATTGATTGATAGACTACGGAGTCATTTGTTTGTTTGTTTGTTTGTTGCTTTACAACCGCACTCAGCAATAGTCCAATATGTGGCGGCGATGTGTGAATAGTCGAGCCTGGACCTGCTAATCCAGTGATCAACTTCATGAGCATCGATCTATTGGGATACCATGACATGTGTCAACCAAATCAGAGAGTCTGACCACCCGATCCCGTTATTCGCCTCTTACAACAAGCATGGGTTGCTCAGGTCCAGTTCTAACCCGGATCTTCTCGGGAAGCTTGACCACCCGATCCCGTTAGTCGCCTCTTACAACAAGCATGGGTTGCTCAGGACCAATTCTAACCCGGATCTTCACGGGTCGAAAATGTTTAAACCTTTATGTTTGTCTCATTTTCGTTGTCAAACCCTCACTGTTTAAGAAACAATGCTTGTTTAAAAGTTTTACTGACTGCCATTGATTTTACCAAGACCACGTGTATAGGCGGCGGGTAGCCTAGTGGTTAAAACGTTCGCTCGTCAGTTCTAAGGCCCATGTTTGGGCCCCCCCGCCGTGATATTGCTGGAGAATTGCTTCAAGCGGCGTAAAACCTAACTCACTCACACTTGTATCAGTGATGTAGACAGTTTGTCCTAAAAGTGCTAGATGTATTTAGAAGTCAGGTGATCATGTTCATATGAGACACAATATGCAATATATGTGATTGGCGACTAGGCGGTAACCGAATGATTCCCAGGGATAATTACAAGAAACATGTTTTTGGAAACACTAACATCACATCAGCAATTATTTTAAGGCGTTAAATGAAACAGTTAAAGGTCAAGTGGAGACATTTGAGATTGACTTTGGTCGTAAAGACAAAAATCAGACATTACAATTTGTACGTAATTAAATC